AGATGATAGGGCTCCATCTGGGTGTTTGAGTGATATTGAATTGGATTTTGATGGCTTTGAATTTGGAAATGAGGGTGGTGTTGGGACAGAAAAAGGAGGGGAAGTAGGGTCAGACTTTGAAACTGAAGGTGGGGCAGATAGTGATGGAGAAACTGATGGTGGGCCTTATAGTGATGAAGAAACAAATGGTGGGGCTAATGATGGTCCTGATGATGGGGCAGAAACTATGGGTAGGCAACTTGAAACTACTACTGTTGATGAGCATGAAGGAAATGGATCTGTTTACTATGATTCTGATGATCCTCCTACCATTCAAGGAGAGAATGACAATGATGTTGGTGAAGAGGTCCAATCCAAGATGATGAAATCTAGACATCCTATATATAATCCAAAGTCTGATCCACCTCAGATTGAGTTAGGAATGTTGTTTGATGATAATGTGCAATTTAAAAATGCAATGATTAGTTATGTTGTACATAATAAAAGAGACATTTATTGGAAAAAAATGAACATAAATATGTCAGGACTGAGTGTAAAGGAGAGGGTTGTCCATTCTATTGTAGTGCAGGGTGGGAAGATAGATACAAATGCTTCCAAGTAAAGTCAATTAATCTGGTCCATAGATGCAATTCAAAGTACAAGCTAAGGGTTGTGAGTCAAAAGTGGCTTGTAGATAAATTAGAGGACAAAGTCAGGAAGGATCCTTGCATTGGCTTTACTCAACTGAAGAATGACATAAAGTCTGATTTAAAGCTCAATATCTCCATAAGCATGGCTAGAAGGACTATCAAATGAATTATAAAGAAACTAGATGCAGGATATGAAGGGCAATTTAAGAGACTAAGAGATTATGCTGAAGAATGTCTCAACTCAAATCCAGGTAGCACTGTTAAGATAGAAACAAATAGGGTTGTTCCAGATGCTCCATGTGTGTTTCAAAGAATATATGTTTGTTTTGCTGCTGTTAAAAAAGGGTTTGTAGAAGGCTGTAGGAAGGTGATTGGGTTAGATGGGTGTTTCTTAAAAGGTATGTTGAAGGGAGAGATTTTAACTGCGGTGGGTAGGGACGGAAACAACCAAATGTATCCTATTGCCTGGGCTGTTGTTGAGATAGAGAATAATTCTTCTTGGAGATGGTTTCTGAAGTTGTTGAAGGTCGATCTAGGGATGTGGGACACCACTGACTGGACAATTATGAGTGATCAACAAAAGGTATGCAATTCAGTTTTTGTACATGTTTATTTACTGCTTTATTTACTGGGATTGCATTGGTAATTTTGCACTGATTACTTCTAAAATAACATGTGGCTACATTCATATTTGATAGTTAACTGGTAATTTGCCAATTTGGACATGTTTAACACTGGGATTGCATTAGTAATTTGCCAATTTGTATTATTAAAATTTCAATTTGACAGTTCATTTAAGGCTTTCCTATAGTTTCACAGTTTGCCAATTTGGTGTATTAAAATTCCAATTTGGATTATTAATAGACTTGAATTCCAAGTTACTTACATGTTACCAATTTAGCTTATTCACATCTAAATGAACTGTCATTGGATATCAGCTATTTAAAACCCTTTTTAATATGCATTTTCTGCAAATCCGACTCAAATAGAGTGTTTACATATACTTATCTTATAGGAAAACCATGAATTTCAAGTTACTAGAAACTAACATGTAGCTGCATTCATAAAATAAAATTCCAAGTTTCCAGAAACTATCCTAACAGATTGCTTATTTGTTGCAGGGTCTAAGTACTATTATTGCAGAATTATTTCCTGGGATTGAGCACAGGAATTGTGCAAGGTATGTTCATGCTAACTGGAGTAAAAGTCATAGAGGCAAGGTGATGAAAAAGCATTTCTGGCAATGTGCTAAGGCTACCACAGAAGCACAACTACAGGAAGAACTCAAAGCATTAGAAAAGATAGACTTGAATGCAAGGAAAGACTTAGACAAATACCCAATGAAGATGTGGTGTAAAGCCCTTTTCAGGACAGAGGTGAAGTGTGACATAGTGGACAACAACCTTTCAGAAGCCTTCAACAACACACTCTTAAAGGCTAGGTCTAAACCCATAGTTTCAATGTTAGAGGATATTAGAGTCGGAGTGATGAAGAGGATTGCTGCGAAGAAGTCATCAGTTAAAAAGTTGAATGGCCAATTTGGGTCATTTATTATGAAGAAATTAAATGACAACATTGTTGAAAGTGTTGATTGGGAGGTGGATTTTAATGGTGATGATGGATATGAGATAAAGAAGGGGAAGCATCAATATAAGGTGAGCATAGAAAGGAGAACTTGTTCTTGCAGATCTTGGGATCTCACTGGAATCCCATGTTCACATGCAGTTTGTGCTATTTTTGACATATACACATGTGATTCAACCCTTAAATGGTGAGATTTTTTGGCCAAATACTCAAAGTGATAAGATACATGCACCTGCTCCAAAGAAGATGACTGGAAGGCCTAAGAAAAAAAGAAAGCAAGAAGAATCAGAACCTAGGCCTTCACAGTCCACTACTCATTTATCTAGGAAGGGGAGAGTGATGACTTGTGCACTGTGTAAGCAAAAGGGACACAACAAACATTATTGTCCTAATCAACCAAGTCAGACTGCAAGTTCAAGTGCAAGAGGTGGGCATTCTGGTGCAGCAAGAGGTGGAAGACAAGTTGGGCTTGGTATATTTACAAACCCACACATTGGAGAAGTCACACTAAATGTAAGGAATGATGTTCACTACTTTACTTGCCCTATTGTTGTGTTACTTTGGAAATAATTAACTTCTGGTTTTATTTTTGTATAGCGTGGACTACCAAGTCAACGAGTGATATATAAACCTAGAAGGGGGAGGACCAATACACCAAGCACAAGTGGAGGGAATTAACTCTGTTGTAGTTCTCTGTTGGCAGTGTAGCTATGTTTTGGATATGGCTTGTAACTATGTTATTTTTTATTTTTGCAAGTCTAACTGTTTCTGTAGACAAGCCAGTAGATGTTTGAATTACCATTTGAACTCTGTTTTGGAAGTGTAGATGTTTGGCAGTAATGAACTCTGTTTAGCAGTGTAGATGCTTGGCAGTAATGAACTCTTTTTGGCAGTAAATGAACTATGTTGGCAGAATTTTGTGTTCATTATTTGGCAGTAAATGAGCTATGCAATTTTGCAATGAATTGGGCAGAAACTCAGTGAATGTTTGTGTGAATTTGGCAATCAATTTTGCAGTGAATTTGGCAATGAATTGGGCAGAAACTAAGTGAATGTATGTGTGAATGGTAATGAATTCTGCAGTGAATTTTGTTTCATTTTAACCATTTTAACCAATTAAATTGGTATTGGCAGAATTTTGCTTCATTTTAACATATACACAGCTGAATTTTACTTCATTTTACCCATTTTAACCAAATGAACAAACATGAATCCCTGGCAGTAATGAAAAAAAATGCTCAATGTTTGGCTAAGGCAATAACACAATTACCATTGGCACAATGTTATTAGCATTCATACAAAAACCATACATGCCATTCGATTGAATTCTAAAACTAAAACAATTAAAAATCATACAGACTCTTTACAGAAACTAACACAATTAACAAACAAATCAAAAACCACTTTCTCTTTACAGCTTTCTTCTCCTTCAATTTCGTCCGCTGCAATTCACTCTCAAACATTGCACGTAGAACACCTATTTCAGTCATCAAATCAGCCCTCATGCTTGCAACCAATTTTTTCAATTCCTCAATTCCCTCTGCATTTTCAGTTTCTTTCCAAACGAAAAAACCACACCCAACACCCTCCTGAGCAAAATTTAAAACAATTTTTTCTCATTAAAAAAATTAACAACAATCTATAAAATTAAGGATATAAACGCACCTTCCACCTTTGACATCCATAAAATTTCTTCCCAGAATCTCGGGTTGTGCAAATTGGAGCCTTCAATCCACACCTACAGTACGTAGGGGGATGATACTCCAAATTAGGTCGCACGCTAGATGAAGCCGAAGATGATGACATGACGAGAATTCGCACACCCAAATCTGTTGACGAAGCCCAGACGCGCTTGGAGATTGAAGAGTGAACGGCGTGGTAACCTGCGATTCAGGTCGTCTGAACGGGGAAGATTGAGGTCGGGAAGATTGAAGAGTGAACGGGCTGATTTGTAGGGATTGAGGTCGTGGAGATGATTCAGGTCTTATAAACTGAGAAGAAAGAATGACGTGTTCTACTAGGGTTTGAGCTAAATAATATATTCCATGTCATTAAGAATGTTTTCCACGTCAGAAGAATGGAAAGGCAACTGGCTTGTAACCTGCGAAAAAGGCTATTAGAACAAATTTAAATGGTTCATGTGGCTAATTACACTATATTTTGGTTCGTGGGGTAAATTGAGCACTTCGCGATAGTAAATGGGGCTATTTGACACTTCTGCCTAAATTTTTAGGAAAGAATTTCATCTATTGTAATCTATCAATCTATCAATATAATAAAGCAACAACTTTCTACTAAAACCATTCTCCCGCCCAACCAATACGGCGCCGTTTAGAGTATGCGGATTTGAGGGAATATAATCGATGGTGTTCAAGTAACGTTTGGCTTTCCAATGACAATTATACGACTAATATATTATGCTACCGAGGTTATTCAATAGACTTCTAATTATGTAAGACTTCTACTCATAACCTATATAAAATCTATTTCCAAGATTGCTTTAATCGATTTAAATATATACACGTAAAGACCTTAACATACACACATACAGATTTTACAATGTATTTCAATTAAATGCTTCCAAAATATCTGCATGATTATGAAGATTAAATTCTTGGAAACTCAAAGGTTTCCATCAATATTCTGGCTGCAAATAATGTGAGGTTCATCTTTCGAATTCCACTTCTTGAGCCTATATAAACCTCACTGTCAAGCTTATTTCAACCACCATTGTTCCAAATCAGCCTTAAGCAGTAAACCAATTTGTAAACCCCTGCATATTTTAAGATGCCAAGTCAATATATTTTGGTTAAAGATGTTGTCCCTCTAAATAGAGAGAGGGTCATTCGAATTAGGTGTGTGAGAGTTTATGAAATACCTGAAAGGAGAGGTGCGAAACAGATGAAGAGTAGAGAGCTTGTGGTATGCGATGAAGAGGTAAGCACTATTTCGTACACACTGTTAGGGATGTCAACGGGGCGGGGTGGGGGCGGGGGACATACCCCCCATCCCCGTCCCCGACTTTCTTCCCGTTCCCCGTCCCCATCCCCATCCCCGCCGGGGAATGAAAAATTCCCCCCATCCCCATCCCCACGGGGATTACTCGGGGACGGGGAATCCCCACCCCGTTAACAAGTTATAAAAAAAAAATAAAAATTAAACATTTAAATAAATAACGCATATATATCCATCCCCAACTCAAAGTTGTATTCAATATTTTACAATTAAACATTTTATTTAAATATGCATGACATACAATGACAAGAATAATTCTAAAATTATATATATTGTATACAAAGTACTACATTTGTGTGTGTTGTGTGGCAATATATATATATATATATATATATATATATATATATATATATATATATATATATATCGGGGACGGGGCGGGGCGGGGAGAGTACTCCCCATCCCCGCCCCCGTCCCCGACGGGGAATTCAAAATTGTCCCCATCCCCATCCCCGATCCCCTATTTCTGTCCTCATCCCCGTCCCCGTAGGGACGGGAAATCGGGTTCCCCGTCGGGTGCGGGTTCAATTGACATCCCTACACACTGTTACATTTACCTTTATTTGTTTTCACACTAAAAAAATCTGTTCACTATTCTATCATGAAATACAGGGAACATTTATTCATGTAAACATGCAAAACTCTGATGTAGACAAATACAAGAATGTGTTCAAGAAAGGGAAGCTATATTCTCTGAAAAATTTTCTGGTCTTCAGTCAGTACTATATGTATAGGACTTGTGACCATCGGTATATGATAAGGTTGAACTACAATACTCAGGTCAAGGCAATCAAATCCAGGGGGTTTCCTACCAACATGTTTCAGCTTAAACCCTACCAATGTCTTAAAGATCCAACATTGGTGAATGACAAAGTCATGTTTGGTAAGTAATTTTTGCAAATTGCATTTTTTTACTTCGCAGATCCAACTTTGCAGATTTCATTTTTGAAGCTATATAATCTTCTATTGTTGTATTACAGATGTTATAGGCAGAGTCATTGAGATTCATGCACCATTAGACAAAATAATAGGTGGGAAACCAGCCAAACTAATAGATTTCAAGATAGCAGACAATGAGTAAGTTTCATACACTCTATAACTTAATTTAATTCAATATTATTTCCATTTTACTAACTGAATTCACTACAGGGGAAATCAGTTGAAATGCACTGTTTGGGATAACCATGTAGCTTCCATGCTACCATTTTACAATTCAGATCTGAAAGAACCAGTTGTTGTGGTTATTCAGCTATGCAGGGCAAAAATTGTAAATGGTAAGCTGTTTAATTATTCCTAATATATTTTAGATTTCTCTGACTTTTTTTTATGTTGTTTTATTAGGTGAACACAAGTTCCTACGATGCTACTAAGCTTTACTTGAATGCCTCTTATCAGGAAGTTGAAGATTTCAAAGCCAAGTAAGTTTCTAAACACTGCTGTTTTTTTTTTTTTTTTTTTTTTTTGAATGGCAAGTAGGTTTCTAATTTTAATTGAATGCCTCTTATCACAAGTTGTGTAACAGTGAAAACACTGCTGTTTTTTTTTTTTTTTTTTTTTTTTTTTTGTTATAGTTCTGTATTAAATCTTTTTTTTTTTTTTGTGTCTACCCTGCTCTATTATTTTATTTTTTTTTTTGAATTTCTGTAGGATCACAACTGTTCACAGTCCTTTGAGAAGTATTACCACAAGTGCAGTTATGTCCCAGTCCACTGGCATTTCAGAATTCAAGAGTGGATCTCTAACTGTCACCTCAGTTGGTGATTTATTGAAAAGCAAACAGGTTTAAGTTGTTCTACTATTATTATATTTTTAGATTTAGATTTTTAGATTTTTAGATTTCTTACCAGTGATACTAATTAATGGCCAATGCTAATAAACAATTCCTTTGTTCAATGCAGGATGGAGATTTTTATGTTCCAGCACAGATTGTAGGAATTGAGGGTTCATTTGGTTGGATGTATCTATCTTGCATGACTTCAGGTTGCAACAGAAAACTGAAACCAGATGGTGAGGATCTAATTTGTTCTAATTGTGATAAAAAGTTCAAGGAAGGAATGGCTAGATTTAGGGTGATTGTGAGGGTTATGGATAAAGGTTTATCAGATGCTCCATTCCTTTTATGGGATAGGGAGTGTTCAGAGTTGGTAGGAATTCCTGCTAGCCTCCTTTACAAGAAATATAACAAGGTAACCTCACTATCCTAAATACATATCTCTCTTATAAAAAAGATAATACATCCACACTGGATTTCTGTTTTAACTTTGGTATTTTGTGTTTGTTTTGGTTATAGGTTTCAGATATTCCCAAAGAGTTGGAATCACTTATTGGATTGTCAATGATATTTAAGATAACATTGAAAATCAATCAAATGAGGGGGGCCAATCCAGCTTATACTGTGATGAGATTGTTGAGGGGTGAACTATTGGTTTCTACCTACTGTTCAAAGCTGAAAGACAACCAAGAGAAGGATCTTATATCTAAGATGATTGATGAAGATGAAGAGGAGGATGATGAATCTGACCAGGTACTACTATTTATTTTAGTATGCATTAATTTTTTTAAGATCTTTTGGCTAACTGTGAACACTAAATATCTGCTTCCATTTGCAGGAAGCATCAAATGAGGAAAATGAGGTGAACAGCCCAAGTACTGGTCAGCAGACTCAGAGCCCTGCGGCTGATTTGGAGGAATGCAGTGTGGTTAAGAGATCACTACTTGATGAGTTCTCTTCAAGTGGCAAGATTAAGAAGTCTAAAGTTGGTCTGTAAAACAAAACAATTTGATATTCATGCCCTGTTGGTTTGTAATGGTTACAGTTTAAGACAATTGACCACCTTGGTGTGGTCTTGTGGTTTTTGATATTGCTTTTGGACTAACTTTTTATGAGTAATCTGATTTGATTTTTTGTTTGGTATTTTGGTATTGTATTGTGTAACTGACTTTTTGCAGATTGAATATGAAGACCCAGCAATGAAGGCTAACAGTTTTGAAGGACTCAGCTAAAAGCACAATCATATATTGTGCTTTTAGCTGTCTGAGTGTGTTCTATTTTTTACCAAGTCTTTTGTAGTTGCAAGTGTTTTGTATTTGTAATTTTTTTTAGTTGGAAGATCTTGGATACTTTATTTTTTTTAGTTGAAAAAGTGTATTATATTTTTAATACTCAAAGTATATTATTACTTAATCTGTAATTTCTTGTATTTTATATCTACTGTAATAAATCAAGTATTTGCACTATATACATTTTTCTATATTACTTTCAAACTCAACACAATTTCAATAGAATCATTAGCAAACTAATCAGAAAGACAAAAGTCTAAGTCCAAAGTTAAACAGTGAAACTGAATAGAAAACATGTATTCAATCAAACACACTAGAAAAACTAAATTTGAAATTAATCACATATACATTGAGTAGAGCCGTCAAAACGGGCTTAGCCCGCCGGGCCGGCCCGCCCCGCCCTTACTTAGGTAGGGGGCGGGTTTTGAAAATAGAGGACCGTTTAGGAGCGGGCTTTTTTGGCCCGCCCCGCTTAGGCCCGCGGCCCGCCAAGTCCACCATTATTTTATTTTATTTTATATAAAATATTTTTATATAAAATATGCACTTTAAAATTATTTTTATGTGTAATATTTTTGGACTTTGTAGTTGTGACTAGTTTGATGTTTGATAAACTATGAACTTTGAACTTTATGTTTGATTATTATGTTTCATGTGAGTTATGACTTATGTATCAATTTATTTTAATTAGTTTGATATTTGATGAACAATTTAAAAAAAAAAAAAAAAAAAAGGTTTTGGGCGGGGGCCCGCCTAGCCCGCGAGCCATTGGCGGGGCGGTCCGGGCCTGTCAAACCTAGGACCGTTTAGGAGCGGGCTTTTTTAGCCCGCCCCGTTTAGGCCCGCGGCCCGCCCCGCCCCGCCAGCCCGTTCTAAGTTCTACGATTATAGGGAGCAAAAGGAAGTAGCCAATTAATAATCCAGGTAACCTACGCACATTAAGATTTGAGTTTCAGAATTACCTTTCGCAATTGTGGTTGTATGTACCGTGCATCGACACCTTTTACACCAAAACGCCATTGTTATCATTAGTCTTGCTGTTATTGTTCAACAAATTCCTGAAAAAAAAATGACGATGGAAAATTATTTCAAACCCTAACTGATTTCGTTTGTATAACTAATCTTTATCGTCGAGTAAAATTGAAAATAATGATTTACACAGATTAAAGTATAGAAACAGAAAATGGATCGAAATTTTACCTGATTTAAAGATTTTGACACAATCGGTCGAATACACAGTTAGGGTTTTTCGATGATCTCTCACCTCTTAGTCTAAAACAACCCAAATGGTTCTTAAACACTAGATCGAACATAAATTAGTTGCTTCTAATGAGTTAGTGAGATTGGTGTATAGACGAAACAATGGTTTTCTGTTAAGAGCGATATTAGGCGATCACAATGAAATTGGTGTGGTCTAAGAGTAGAATGGGTAGTAAATAGAGCAAAAGGAACAAGATCGGAGTGTTGAGGCACAAGATCGGAGTGTTTACAGACCGTTTGACACAGAGAGAACTGAGAGAGTATGTCTCCGACCGGAGTGAATGTTAGAGAGAGAGAGAGAGAGAGAGAGAGCTAAGAGGTTAGTGAGAGTGTTCTAGGATGTCCGACTGCGTATGTCCGGGTAGTCAGAGGGAGAAGCGGGTCGGGTCGAATAACAAGTTAACGGGTCTGGGTTGTAGGGGCGGGTTTGGGCTTAGTAATCTGGGCTTATTAATTTTTAGATATTTTGTTCTACATTGGCTAAGTAGGTATTATGTGTCTATTACAATGGGCTAAGTAAATATTAAAATATTAATATAACTGGGCTAAGTATGGTCCAAGTAAATGTATACTCATCACAAAATTATGGTACATCTAGCCATGGGGATGTACATTGTGGTTGCATTGAGTATACATTATATTAGTTAATGTACATTAACTACAAAATTAATGTAAATGTCATATATTTTAAAAGTATTTTTGTTATGGTCCACATAACATTGTGTGGACCATTGTGTTTTACATTATTTTTGTAATTTTTACGTTCATTATATTAAGTACTGTACCTTAACTACAAATGTTGTATATAAAGAAGTTTTTAATAATGTATAATAAAAATAGCAATTCATACTATTACTTCTAAATTTAAGGCATTACGTATTACTTCTTAGATTTATGACCGTGCATCGGACGGGTGCAAATACTAGTTGTAATTATATTAAAAGAGAAATTATTTGTAATTAGCATTCAAAAAAAAAATGGAAAATTATTTTTTTAAAGGAAAATTATATTTTTGGTCATTAATTTTTTTTAACAGTGATTTGGCATTTTTTTTTTCTTAATTTATTGATTATTGTTTTTCTCGTAGTCACTTTTACTTTTCTTCTCCCAAAGTCACTTTTACTTTTCAATTATTATCTTGTGACTCTTTTCATTCTATAAATAAATCTTAACAAAAATTTGTACAATTTAGGGAAATGGCATTTTTAGTAATCCCCCCCCCCCCCCACCCCTTCTCTCCCATCTTTCACCAAGGAAACTGTTCTTCGCATGTAAATTGATCCACACACAAATTACGCGCATGCGCACACACACACACATATATATAGTATCTTGCTTTGGATTTTTTCTTCTTCTACGTTTCTTTTATTATACCTTGGACTCAAGTTTATTTTTGTATTTTTTAATTGTCTATTGTTTGAGTGTAATATTATATTGTCTATATTTGTCATTGATATATATGTATTTTTGTAGGCAATGTATTGGTGTGCACTGTGACCTCCGCAGTGTGCATTTTCACTGTTGATCCTCACTACTGGGTTTTCGTCATATATATGCACCTCGTCATGGCCTAGTGTGCACTTTGTATTCATGTGATGTGTGCGTGCATTCTAAACTTGGTGTGTGCCCACTATAGTAAATACGCGTGCACATTTGATTGTGGTGGTGCAAGATGTGTAGGTCTGCATTTCAATGTGAATGTGTGCATAGTGTAATCTAAAAGTGTGGCGTGTGTGTACACGACTCTGACGGTATTCTATGGTGCACCCAATTTTGTGCATGAGTGCACACAGCCTCTCAGAACACAACATAACACCAAATTCTACTGTCATCTACTCCACGTGTTTGTCTCGTTAAATTAAAGAATCGAACATTAACAAAACAATAAGATTTTCTTATATTTAATAATAATAATAATAATAATAATAATAATAATAATAATAATTTATTTAAATGAATGAATTGAATAATATAGAAACTCATATTAAATTTGCCAATGGATAGAAAAAAAATATAAAGTGAATATATATAATATTACTCTTGTACTATGAAATTGAACAATATACATATTCCAAGACCATCATCAAGAAAATATTTTTATTTGAATGAATTATTTTAACACACAAAGCATTGTAACTTAATTCAATTCCTTGGACACCAAAACGATAAACATATAAAAACAAATCAAATTCATTTTACAAGCACGTACTCCGATGACACCTCTATGACTCTCCTTGAAAGCTGGAGCTGGTCTAAGCTAGTGAAGCTAGCTAAGCTACTGGCTATAGTAGGAGCCATGGGGATCGCCTGACCAGCCCAAGGTCTCTAACTGCAGCTGAAGCTCATGAAAACTATTTTGCATGCCCATACACCCAATAAGCTTGCGCATCATACGACACGGCTTCCCCACCCACCACGGCATCCGTAAGATGGTCTTTAAGGTGGCAATAAAGAAGCGTACACAATAGGCAATGCCAAACAGCCCCAAAGAAATATACATTAACACCTTCGCTGTGGTCTTGTTCTCCTTCTCCCCGGTTACGTGCAACATGATGAGGAAGCTGACGGACATGAAATACAGAGCCAAGTGGAGGAAAACGCTGTAGAGAACAAATGGGAGCACGAATAGCATCACCCCTAAGGCGAGATTGAAGGCCAATGTGTTCATAGATACAAAGAGAGTGAAATGGCGCTTGTAGTGGTGGTGGACAGTGTTATTGGGGGTTGGAGATGGAGATGGGGAAGTGGGATCGGTGGTGGTGTTGTGTAGGACGCCGTTGGGGGGCGTGAGAGTTGCTTGGTAGACGGCGGTGGCTACCAGCACCGCCACCACTAGCACCACGTTCCGGATGTTCATTGACATGCCTTTGTGGATGTGGGCGGAGTAACGGATGAGCTTTTGCATGGGTGTCTCCGATGACAGGAAGAATTTCAGGCGATTTATTCCCTCCTTTCCCTTTGCGTTGGCTATTATTTCTTTGCTGTTCTCTCGGATTTTTTTGAATGCTTTTGGGATTCTTTTTGGCCTCTCCACACCTGACTCTGACGTCTGCATGCGGCAATAATGCTTATATATAATTATAATTATTACAAGCTAAGTATATATATAACACCGAATAATTTTGTTGGATGGAGGCCGGTAAAAGGCCAAGTCCAGTAATGGATGGCTAGGGGATTGTTGGGTGGAGGCCCATGAAGGGCGAGTCCAGCACTTTGCATCTCGAAAATGTGGTGGCCGTATGTAAGGAAATAAATTAAAGTTGAGTCTTTATTGTGAGTTATAGCTTTTGGCATAGTGTTAAACACTTGATCTTAACAAGTGGTACAATATCCAATTCAAGTTAGATAAGTGCTAAGAGAGGGTATTGTTCGGCTAAGGCCAGTAAAGGGCCAGGTCGAGTAATTGCTTGTTAGGAGATTGTTGGGCGGAAGCTGGTAAAAGGTTAGGTCCGACCAGCAATTGGTGGCAAGAGGGATTGTTGGGCGAAGGTAAGTGAATAGCCAAGTCCAGCATTCTGCCTCTCGGAAATGTGGTAGTCGAATATAAGGAAATAAAGTTGTGCCTTCGCTCGACTAGCTGTGAGCTATAGCTTTTGACCTAGTCATGTTAAACACATAATTCTAACAAGTGGTGTAAGAGCCAGGTTTGACAAGTGATGGGAGAGTGAATTGTTGGGCAAAGGTTGGCTAAGTGTCAAGTCCACCAATTGGTGGTTAGAGAATTGTTGAGAGCAGGGCGGTGAATGGCAAAAGTGTATAGTAACTTAATTGTATGTATAGTATGATGATAGGTACCTCAGCATTCATGGTGTGTTGTGCTTCTGCAGCCAGACGAAGTGCAGTGTTCCCGTTGACATCTTCCATGTCTAAAACCTTGATCTTACCAGTCCTCCAAACCCAACCAAACATCACTCCAAAAGCGTCAAAACTCCTTCGTTCAATCGCCACATGCATTGGGGTTTTGCAATCAACCGTGACATCCTTAACAGCTCCAGGGCACGCCGTGAGAAAATCAATCAACAACTCCAGTTTCTCGGCGTCACCATCCTTAGTAACCGAGACCAAGTAGTGCATGGGCGTCATCTTCCCCCTCCCGCCCACCCGAACCAGCCCGCCGTCCAGTTTTACCATATGGCCAGCGGTTTTGAGGTGGCTGTTTTGCAGGGCCAAGTGTAAGGGGCTTAGGCCTTCGCCGTTGAGCTTCTTGCAAAAAGATGGCATTATGGCCATGGCTTCCACGGCGAAAAGGGTGTTGCCATTTGCTGCGGCCACGTGCAGTGGGGTATCCACGAATGGGATTTCTTTGATTTTCTTTAGGATCTCTGGGTCGTCTTGGATAGATTTGTATAGGGCAGTGACGTCATTTTCTTTAGCCGCCATTGTCAACACGTCCCAATGGGATTGGGAGGGGGAAGACATTGTTCTATCGTTAGGTTACTGTTTTTTGTTGAGTTGACTAAATACTATACCATATGATATACAGAAACTCCTAGAACAAATGTTTTTATATTTCGGAAACATAAATGACTAAATGTACGTTGTTACGTTCTTCCAAGATTGGAATATTGTAGTTGCTTGGAGATGTATGGTTGCTTTTGGGTGGACACATCCCTATCATTAGTAAATAGCCTTAATGAAAAAAGTTTTCTGTGTTTGCTTTTACTTTTGCTTTGCTTGCTTGCTTGGTTTTTCTTTTCTTTTTACGTAAAAAGTTTGGTCCATAAAATGCATGTATGTATCTTAAGTATTTTGTGGTCTGATGAGATGAGAATAACAGTTTCAAAACTTAATCTTATAATTGATCAATTCATAATATAATGTTGTTTGAAGTATATGAAGATATGAAGATATGTATTTATAAGAATACAAAGAGACTCAGAATATTAAAATGATAATATTCTCAAAGGGAGAGATAGAGAATAAATTCTAGAGTCCTAATATGCCCCCTTAAATTTAAGATTATTTAAGGAGAACATTAAGCTTGTCCCTTAGATCATTTAACATTACTATGGTTAGTGGCTTGGGGAAGATGTCTACTAGCTAGTTGATCAATTGACACAGGTTCTTTAGTAGTCAATGAGGAGATCATTGCGCAGTACCCAGGGTGGAGTCCAATTAAAACCTTGGCAAGTTTTGCCAAGATACTCGTAGTAGTGGAATCCCACTGGCGCAAAGACTACAGTCGACTATGGAGACTCACATATAGTGCCCGAGAAACACCCAAAGTCCACTTCAATAGTTTTGATAGGGCCTAAGACATGGCATGTCTCATTGCAACATACAGAACTTCATTAGACAAAAACGATATGAGCATGGACAAAATAAAAGAATCTCAACGGATCAAATTTTATGTCGTAGGATCGGCTACAATAGAACACTCATTCGGAGTGCTACTACAATGGAACACTCATCCGGAGCGCGACTACAATGAAACACTCATTCGAAGCCTTAATAATGAAGTTGGACACAGTAACATGCCTTCAAAGTATCCAGTGAGATTTTGACCCCAGAGAAAGAGAACATGTTGAGTCTTCCATAATATATAGTTTGAGGAAGTATGTTTAATGGAGATAAAGTGATGAGCTATTTGTAGGGTATTTATCGAGGCTATAGTTGGATGGACAATATCAGAGATGATGCGAAAAGAGGAGGTTGTGTCAAGTGACCAACGGCGGGGGGTTAGTGGCGACGACAGGGGGTTAGTGACGATGACGTCGGGTTTAACAATAGTTTTGGAAATAAACATCAATCCATGATGTTTGAAGTACATGAATATAGTTTTATAAGGATACAAAGAGTAATATTTATAAGAATACAAAGAATCCATTCATGATAGGGGAGAATCCCCTTAAGGTTGGGGTTCAGTCTTAGAAAAATGATAGGGGAGAATGAATTATACTGTGTCTAGATACCAAGTCCTAATAAATATCGTAACTATTACTTTTCATAAAGAAGATCGGAGGAATTAGAGTTCACTAAAAAAATGCATTGTTTATATGTTCAATGATACAATTGAATATCATTTTTTCAAAAGGAAAAAAAAAAAAAAAAGAATATTGTACTTATTGCGTACAAATAGGGTATGCATTATTTAAGTATTAAAACGCAATACACGTTTGCTTGCTTTTGTGAGGTATACATCCTCATGCACTTTCAACGCAATGCACGTTTCTAAATTTCCCTAATTAAACGGTTTGTCTTATCCTCATTCGTTTTTTTTTTTTTTTTTTTTTTTGATAAATGACTTTTGGAGATTGGATAGTCATGATATAGAATTAATATCGAATCTCATAAAGATCGGCGGGGACTTCTGTTGATACCATTATATTTCAATTATAAAATTGGATTTCTAGTCTTTATGAAAAAAATACATTCTTTATAATAATTTATATAAACTGCATGCTATGCTTATGCTATTAGTTCACTAATGTACTATTGTTTTATCGCATATATTCCGATCCAATGATTCATTCAAGACTTCAATTAAAAGTAAAACATGATATGATGGTGGAACATTCGAAAGGTAGTTGGGCTGGAGCTAAGGGACGTGGGTAATTGAGGAGTGCGGTTAGCGGTGTACTACTGGCTAGAGGTCAGTGAATGTCCAAATTCAACAATGAACAGTTGTGGAGATTATTGGATGGAAATCAGTGAAGTGTCAAGTTTAGCACTCTACTTCTGTAAGCCGTTGCTGTGAGTTATAGTGTTTGACGTTTGATCTAATAAATGGTATCAAAATCAGGTCACGAATTTGAAGTGCAGTTAAAATTGACAGGTGCTAGGAGGGATAAGCACTTGATCCTAACACAACCAAAGAAACATATATACATGTAACAAAAGCATCAATAAATAATGTTCAATTAAATTTAAGTTCAAAACAATGATTGGTGCTTTACCTTTATTAGGAATTTAGGGATTAGTCTTTAGCACGTAATCTCTCACAACTTGTAGGATTAATTTGAGTGTGGGTAAGATGAAGTGCTTAGGCGGTTCTTTTGGGCTAACTTTGCTTGTAAACTACGAGAGTAGAGAATTTGCGTGCGTTAGTACACTCGGGTATATCACATGAGAGGCACCGGGCACTTTAATGCAATTCCTCCATTCATAAGGGATAGAACTACTTTTCTACTTTAGTTTGGCTCAAGATAAACATTATCCTTTATCTTTGTTGCATCTTCTAGACAAGAAATGATCAAAATACCCACGCTTAAATCGGAGTTCTCACTGGTTGAACGACGTGACGGAACAGTGTCGGAAGGAGTTATTTGATCAATATTAAATTAATTAGATGATCAAATTATATGAAATTAGAATTGAGGAAATACATTGACAGTTCGCCAAGAATTGATGGACCAAATCGTTGATTCTTCAAAAGTAAAATGTGTGGGAATCGTGGAAGGATCGGGAGCCAACCATTACATCAATGTGGGCTATCATCCAAATTTATGGATTGTTTTATTTTTGTTTTTTTTTTTTTGTTTTGTTTTTGTTTTTTTTTGTTTTTTGTTTTTTTTTTTGTTTTGTTTTGTTTTGTTTTGTTTTGTTTTTTTTTTTGTTTTAGCAGGAAGTTTGGTTCTCAGAAGCCATATTGGACTGTAATTGTGAAAGGTAGGTACTATTTCGGATTGATGATGAAGCGTTGTTATATAGTGGACCATGCTTCACACATCGCTATGTGGACTATGATCATCGAATTAAACTGTATTAAAATTAAAATGATACTTTAGTGTTATTATAATGAAACTAGTGTGTGGGGAAAATGAAACTAAAAAACATAGCACATTATTGTCAAATGAAACTGTAGCATAATTAAAATGATATTTTAGTATTACTATAATGAAACTAGTGTACGTGTGAAAAATAAAACTAAAATCCAAAGTCATATAATAACATATATTGTCAAATAATACTTCAACATTACTATAATTAAACTAGTGTGTGTCGAAAATGAAACAAAAAAAAATAGACCTCAAGCAATAATGTATATTATTATCAAATGAAATTGTAGCATAATTAAAATGATACCATACTTTGGTATTGTTATAATGAAACTAGTGTGTAGAAAAAATGAAATTAAAAAACATAATAATATTATAAAATGAAACTGAAGTGTAATTAAAATGATACATACTTCATACTCAAAAAAATGATACATACTTCATGGTCCACGCATGCTGCTACACAGAGCATGGAGCACAATAAAATTTGGCAATGATGAAACATTGAAATGGATATTCTAGTCGTGGGGCTTGTATGCAATGAACATGATGCACTGGACTTGGCGCCTGTTATCGAAGCCCAGAATTCTAACCCATGCACCCGGGTATGCCTTTTTGCACTCCTCCAGCTCTGCTACCACCTGGGTCGCATCCGTGCACCCGAACATCGGCAGCTTCCACATTGTCCAGTATCTTCCGTCGTAGTATCCCGGTGAACTGTGCCATTCACGGTATACGAATCCTTTCTGCAGTAAAACCCTCAAATTCAATAATCAAATCCAACTTTTATGTATAAAATTCGCCTAAAACTCCACTCAACTCATCATATATATATATATATATATATATATATATATATATAGAGAGAGAGAGAGAGAGACAGAGTTAAATAAGTACTAATATGTAGTTTAGGGTAATTGTAGAATTTGCCTCTAAGTGTTGATCGTACTCATGTTTTTACCCCTAAGCTAAGCTATTATTGCCGTTGAACTTTTCGTCATTTTATAAACTTTTTATGCTCACTTTTCCGTCTATAAATGCTAAAATTGCAAATTTCGTCCCTAATATTTTGTTAGTAAAGAGACAAAAGTGCAATGCCAATGATAACTTAAGGATGAAAAGTGAGCGTGACCAACAATTAAAGATAGATTCTACAATGGGAGGAAAAATGTAATTTTTCTTATTTAGTTATTATATTTGAATATCTGATGAGATAATAAGTGATGAGTACTCGTAGTGGACACTCACACCCGGTGGGACAAAGAGGTAGGTTTTGGAAAAGTCCATCACTGTGGAAATGAATGGAGAAAGTATAAGATGAATAGGGTGATAGATGTATTCTTTTTTGACTTACCCCGACCCATTGTCATCCTAGATTAACTGGAACTGAAATTATCCAAAAAAAAAAAAAAAAGAAAAAAAAAAAAAGAAAGAATCTTTGACCTCAGTCTCGAATTCCAAGCAAGGAACCCATCCTTTGTTAAGCAGGTACTCCACTTGTTTGAGCAATTGCTCAGTGCTCAATGGAGGCAGGTATGACAGTGTCTCGAACTTCTTCAACCCGAATGGCGGCCAAACCTGCACGTACCCATATATATATACATCAAAATATATTGCTGATGACACTACTGGAAATTATGGAATTTCCGACCACCTGAAAGTGATCTTAAATTAAGTTGAAAGTCTTGTTCAGATCACTTTTGATATCCGAAAAAACATTTGTTACTATTTCCGATCATTTTTTGCTTTCAACTTTGATTTAAGATCCACTTTCAGTTGGTCAGAAATTCTATAATTTCCAGTAGTGTGAGTATTATCTTGAACTAATGTTTATGAGTGTATACATATATACCTGCATGCATTGTACTCTAGTGCCGTTGGTTGCAATGGAAGTAAAGTCGGCGGATTTCCTAGTGACGGGGAAAGAGGCGGTGGACTTGAGACCGGTGAAAGGTGCGACCATGCTGGCCTTGGCAGCGGTGGCGCGGCCGGAAATGGCGGCGGAGGAGAGGACTGAGGACGCCATTACTGCCGATCGCTACTTTACTTTGATTTGTAGTATTGGTGGTGATGATCATTGGGATGGTGGTAGGCTTGGTATATATAGCGATAAGGTGTCACATGAGTCCAATCTAACGGGCGACGTTGAATTAAACCTAATCTTTTAGGAACCACGACCATTGGATTTCTGTGGTTCTTGACATCACAACCTTAATATCCATATCAAGGCTATCCACACTGCTGACATGCAATCCAACGTGGAACCTTTTGTTATTTTGTAAAAAAATTGCAGATTTGCAAAGGTATTAAATATAATTATTTTATGGAAATAATTTTTTGTAAAGTGATGTGAAAGTGTGTTGGACTTTTGGAAGAGAAAAGAGAATTGCATAGATGAAGAATGAATAGTGATTAATTGAAAATTTAGTGATGTGACATTTTAAAAGTAAGAAAAGATTATACTAAGAAGTGTTTTTGTTAACATATTTGTTGCATATATTTTCACTAGTATGAATTTTTTGCAATAATATCTCACCAAAAATAACAAACTCTCTAACATTATGGAACCTTACATCACTATGCTTGGTTCTAGGGATTTTTAACAAAAAAAGAAAAAAAGAAAAAAAAAAAAAGATGACACTCTAATTGTACGTCATAGTGTAACTGAACTCCACCTTGCTTAATACCTAATTCAATTCATTAATCAAAGTTGAAAGCCACAAATCCTGTTTAGTTGCCTCAGTCACAACCATATATTCTGCTTCAGTTATAGTCAAAGCTACAACAACAAACTAAACTTATGATTTCTAACAAACAAGACCACCACCAAGAATAAAGACATAACTTCTTGTAGACTGTCTGTTATCTATAAAGACACTCGGCCCCCACTGGCCACACCACGGTTGGGGGAGTCTAATGAGCCGGCTAGGTGGTGGAGCCATATCCCCTTGGGCTGCGACTATATCCCCCTCTCCACCTTAGGCCATACCTTCTTTGCCCCTCAACCCTTGGGATGGCAAGCCTCCTTCACCAGTCATTATATCATGAACTGCGGTGCATAATCGATTATGCACCGCGCATTAAAACGACGACGTTTCTTTAAGTAAAGAAACGGCGCGTTGTTAGTGTTAACGGGGTGACATTACAGTATATCTAAACTGACACTGCCTCACGTATTATTTTTATATTATCAAATGAAACTGCAGTTATATCAAAATGATAATGTAGTTGTAGTGAAATGAAACTGCAGTATATATAAAATGAAACTGAATAACATTTCACATATTTTAGTGTATATTGTACAATAAAGTTGTAATTATATCGAAATGATAATGTAGTCGTGTTTTAATGAAACTATAGCGTATATAAAATAAAATTAAATAACATTTTCACATATTTGAGTGTATAAATATTGAATGAAACTGTAGTTATATCGAAACGAAACTGTAGTTATACGTTGTGTTAAACTGAAACTGCAGTGTATACAAAATGAAACTGAAGAACAGAGTTATTTTTTTTGCGGAACGGCGCGAAACGGATTCCGTTTCTTTTCATTGAATAAAACGACGTCGTTTTGATGCGCGGTGCATAATCGATTATGCACCGTGGTGCACGATATAATTTGCCCTCCTTCACTCCCCCTACTTGGGTCGACATGTCTTCCTTTATCTCATTGGCAAATTATATCGTGCACCGCGGTGCATAATCGATTATGCACCGCGCATCAAAACGACGTCGTTTTATTTAATGAAAATAAGCGGAATTCGTTTCACGCCGTTCTGCACCGTCCTGCAAAAAATAACTCTGTTTTTCAGTTTCATTTTGTATACATTGCAGTTTCAGTTCAACACAATTACAGTTTCATTTAGATATAACTACAGTTCGATTCAATATTTATACACTCAAATATGTGAAAATGTTATTTAATTTTATTTTATATACACTATAGTTTCATTAAAACACAACTACATGATCATTTCGATATAATTACAGCTTCATTGTACAATATACACTCAAATATGTGAAATGTTATTCAGTTTCATTTTATATATACTGCAGTTTCATTTCACCACAACTACATTATCATTTTGATATAATTGCAGTTTCATTTGATAACATAAAAATAATACGTGAGGCAGTGTCGGTTTAGATACACTGTAGTGTCATTTTGTTAACACTAACAGCGCGCCGTTTTTTTTATTATTATTATTTAAAGAAACGTTGCCGTTTTGATGCGCGTTGCATAATCGATTATGCACCGCGGTCCACGATATAACAAATGTATTTCATTGACTTGGGCCAACATGTATTCCTTCACCCCCTTGACTTGGGCCGACATGTCCTCTTCACCCCTTTGTCCACCAAAACCCCCAAGGCCAATATCTTACTAATAAAAATGAGCCCATGGCTCCATCATACATGAATTGAAAAATAAACGCAAATATGAATAACCTCAAATAGTGAATGAATGGATTTTTTTTTTCAATTTATTCTTGGGTGTTGAATTATCATCATACTGAATTTTTCTACATGCGGGAATATAGAATACATGCATATATATATATGTATGGATTTTTCTTTCAATTTGTATCCTCAAATAGTAATATATAATCTTACACAGGAGTGTATTTATTGGGGATCTATGTTTCTACAATTCACTTATTCTTTTCCAGGAAAAGTATAACATTTTCTTCGTAGACATATTTGATGACTTGAAATAGGAATACCACTAAGTTAAAATATTGCATGGTAGGCAGAAAACTAATAACACTAATCAGAGAAATACATATACTAGTTGATTCATTAATCCCAATTAGTATTGTTTCCTGTACTCCCAACTCAGTTATATATTTAAGTGAATTCTTACATGATCAGGGGCAGATCCAGAAGGGAGCAATATAATGGGGGTGTTGCCCCTCCTCACCCCTCTCCAGTCCCCAACCTTTATATATGTAATTAGTTTTTTTTTTTTTTTTTTTTTTTTTTTTTTTTTTTTTTTATGCGCGATGTGCAAAAAATAAGTGCCCAATATTAGTACATTATATTAAAATTTTAAATTTATTTAGATTTTAGATATTTAAATTATTCTAAATAATAATAATAATAATAATAATAATGTAACTCATTTTTATAAATTTGATATTTATATTTTAGGTAATAATTAACATATAACTCAAATATATAATGTGTATATATATTATTATTAATGAAGAAGATAAGAAAATATATGGTGGATGCATGTGCATGGTAACAATAGTGGAAAAGATAACGGAAGTTATAAGTTTATAACGGTAGGGGTATGTTTGTCCAAAATATTTTAATGTACAACTTTTATAGCATAATGTACAAGAAAACTTAACGAAAAAAAGGGACATACAATGAGGGGTATAACTTTCATTCACACTTATTATGTTTTTAGATGTATATATACATATACTATAGTAACTTATATATAAAAACAAAAGAGTTAATTTGATTTGTGGTTCTAGATTTATAGGTGGCTTTAAGTCTTTTTTTATTAAAACATTCAATTTTGGTCCTAGTATTATTGTGGTATGACCATTTTTTGTCCTTTATCAACAAAACAGTTTACATATCATTAAATACAAGGACATTTCGGTCTTTAATTATGGATATTTTAAAAAAAATAAACATAAAAAATATAGTGGTTCAACCTACTTTGTATAAAAAAGATTGAAATGTCTCTGTATTTAACGATATTTCAACGATTTTGTTGAACGAGGACTACAAATGGTCATACCACAATAATATTTTTTTGGTAGGACATACTACAATAATATTAAGACTAAATGAGGATGTTCTAATAAAAATGGCTAAAAATAGATTGTTATCTATAAATTTAGGACAAAAAATAGAATTAACTCAAAACAAAATGTGAATTATTAGCTAATGTATATATAAGTTATTAGCTAGATGCCAAGAGGCTGATGATAGAAAAACTACATTCCTCTGTAATACAAAAAGAGATCACTCATCTATATAAGTGTCTCTTGGAGAAATGTACGTACATGCATGGGGTAGTGACACATAAATGCTATCCACACGCTCTAGTAAATGGATAAAACATATGGATAAACATATGCATGAACTTAATCCAAAAACTTTGGCTGATGAGCGCAAACAACTATACTAGCTTGATTGTAACAACAATAATATTATGCAAATATAATTAAATGACGGATTAGACAAGGTAAATAATAATGATCGATTCAATAAAATTTTTACAATTAAATTTAAATTTTATTTATTTCTATTATACTAACTTTATAAATTGATTTAAAATTTGTAGATCTTTCGTATTCAAAGCTATACATAAGAAGAAATTGATCATATTAGACATTATTTATGGTGCAAAACCTTTTTTTTTTTTTTTTTTGGATGACACGAACGTGATATTAAATTCTTATTATTACTATTTAGTTATTAGTATTTGTGACTTAGCTTATTGTATTTGATAGCTATAATTGATTACATCTTGTTTGTATTCTTTATGATTATTACTGTATATGTTTAAGATTATTATTTTGATCTGTATGTTAAATGTTAAATTGTATTTTAATGCAATTGGACAGGTTAATAGGAAATTTATGATTTTAAAAGTAATATTTATAAAAAATAAATAAATAACTATATACGGCGGTTCCGGTTGGGAACTGTTGTATATAGTTATTAAATTTTTTATATACATAATATGTACAAAGGTATTTATTTATTTTTTAAATATTATATATGGCATTTTAAATACTGCAAAAAAACCTCTCTGTCCTCCCAAACCTTGCATCTTGTCGTTCCTTCATAGTGTGGCCACCGGCCACTGGCCGACTCTGTCCTTGGCCGGCGGTCTCATACTTCCGTAGTTCCTTTGTATTTTGTTTTTTAGTTTCACAACTTCCAGCACCAGATCTAATAATCAAGAAGCTCCTCACCATTCTCAATGCTTATTTTTCAACAAAAGGGAAAAGAAGGCTGTGTCAGTGTTCTTTTCTTAAATCTAGGTAATGAAGGCTTTGAGTTCTGAAAAAGGACAAGAAGTTTTGTGCTTTGATCAAGGACAAGAAG